GTACAATTCATATCCCCAATTCATTCTCCATCTCTCCCTCTCCAGTGTAACCCTCTCACCATACCAAGTGATTCTCTTAACACTCTCTCCCCCATCCCCTAAATGTGATCTCTAATGACACCCTTGACCCCCCCCCCCACTGCCCTCTCTAATGAACTGACCACACCCTTTCCAGGTGAGTCAAAAACATGGCATAGTGTTCCTCATCACCAAATATGGTTATGTCCATCTGTACGACGTCGAGGGCGGCACGTGTATCTACATGAACCGTATCAGTGGTGACACGATCTTTGTCACAGCATCACATGACACAAGCAATGGTATCATTGGTGTCAACAGAAAAGGACAGGTTTGTACTGGTATAGTTTGTTACTTTCATGAACGTTGTAAATGACTTGTGAAGTATCTTGATAAGAACATTCAATTTTGATCTAGGTACCAAAAACGAAATCCATAGCTAGAAAGAGCATCATAAAATTAGTAAAATTGCAAAGTTTGGCCGCGAAATGTTGTAAAATGCGGAAAATATAGCCCTGCGAAATTTGCAAATTTTGTATTATTTTGTATTACGCGTGCGGGAAAATGCACCACTTTCGGCCCAAATTTGGTGCATTTTCCCGTGCGTAATACAAAATAATACAAAATTTGCAAATTTCGCAGAGGACTATATCTTCCGCATTTTACAACATTTCGCAACCAAACTTTGCAATTTTGCTAAATTTAACATGCTCTATCTAGCTGTGGTGACGGATTTGGTTCTTCTTGCCGAGATCAAAATTAAGTCTATACCTGGAATCCATTGAACTGAAAGTAAATTTGTATCAGATATACAAACTCCTTCACGGTCGTGATTTCTTTTTGTTTTCTTCATGAATTACCTTATTATAGGAAATTAACGATGCACTTAATTAACGCGACATAAATTAACGCGACATCAAATTAACGCGACATCAAATTAACGCGGATTGCTTCTAGGTCTTTAAAAGCATGATTATATTAACGCGAATCTGATCTCCATGGTTGATAAATTAATTAAATTAACGCGAATCGGAAAATATAGACAACAACAACAACAACAACAACAAAGGTTTAATGTTAAGAGGAGCACTGATGTTTTTAGTTTACGTTAATATGCTGTATTTTGATATTAAAAGAGTTAGTGTTATATAAAACAAATCTAGGTATTTTTAACTAACGATAAATGAAAATTACATACTTAAAATTAACGATCACATAAATTAACATTAATTAAATTAACGCGAATTTTGAAAATCCGCGTTAATAAAGTGCATCGTTAATTTCCTATAATAAGGTATTCACGAGTTTCACAAAATTATTTCTAACTTTGCCAGCAGTCTGCTCTATTAAAATTATGTCTTAACCTCAGGTGTTATCAGTCAGCGTTGATGAAGAGAATATTGTAGCATACATCACGAACGTGCTTCAAAATCCTGACCTCGCCTTGCGAGTGGCTGTGCGGAACAACTTGGGAGGCGCTGAAGAATTGTTTGTGAGAAAGTTTAACAACATGTTCAACAACATGCAATATGGCGAGGCTGCGAAGGTTGCTGCTAATGCACCCAAGGTTTGAGTCTTACTTTTAGATGTTTTCTAGAACACATTAGGGGTTCTGAGCTATAATATTACTGGAGGAGGTGCTCGGCATAAAAAAGGGTTACATTTCCATGCGGGCAAAATTGCAAATATGCCCGAAAGATTTTAAAATTAAAATTTTAAAGTGATCTGTTTGCTCGCTTTTGCATAATAACACGCTGGAGGTAGCATATTTGAGGAAAATATTAACCGGAAATCGAAGCTGTTCCAATGCGTAACTGACTTCCGGTTGCGATCCCTGGCAATGTGGGTAATGTGTACGTTTCAACGGAAAAACAATTACCGGAAATGGACCATTTGTATTATACACTAAATTTTGATCTCAACAAGTCTAGATAAAAATTTCATCACAGCTTGAAAGAGCATTACAAAATTAGTAATATTCCAAAGTTTCGTTGCGAAATGTTGTAAAATGCGGATAATATAGCCTTGCGAAGTTTGCCGTTTTTCAGTCATTTTCTATTACAAACGGGAAATTGACAGCCCCAAAGAGTATTGGGCTGTCAATTTCCCCCGCGTAATGCAAAATGACTGAAAAACGTCAAACTTCGCAATACTATATTATCCGCATTTTACAACATTTCGCAACGAAACTTTGGAATATTACTAATTTTGTGATCCTTTTTCAAGCTGTGATAAATTTCGAATTTAGTATAGAATAAAAAATTTAGCCATAATGCAAATGGGACCATTAAAGCGCTGAAACGCTATTTCGAAATCCGCAGGGAGTACCCAAACAATTATCAATGTTTATGGAAAATTCCATGAAATGAACGGATTTGTGATATTGAGAGCCGTTTCAAATTTGTCTACTTTATATAAACTCTGTGGATCAGTGGTTCGGTTATGCGCGTGCACTACTGCACGCCCGATAGCGTAAAATGGGAAGACGGAAAATTATTCGTTTTGCTCTTAATTATTCGGGTGTTTTTAATTAATTATTTGTTGGCAAGCAGCTGGGGACGAGGTATGACCGCGAGGCAGCTGTTGTGACCTTATCGATCATTGAAACATTTCCAATAATATTAGTTGTTGTGCGATGGATGAAGCAATCAAAACTATACTGAAGCTTGCCTTCGGTTTTCTATCGGACAAGTTACGCACTTATGGCGCTGAGAAATTGCAAGATGGTGATCTCACTGACCAGAAATTTAGAGGCATTATTGTTCGTGAATTAGACGACATTAAGGTTAAACTTGATTGTTTGTCTCGCAAGGATCTGTCTACGAGCATTAGTTGGCTAAAGCAAGCTGTCCAACGTTTGCATATGTCTGTTGGTGAGACGTGTGAGAGTGTAAGCTCTGCATATACATCTGAATTACCGAAGAACGGAACGCAATCACGAGATACAACGGGCGCTGGGGAAAGTTCGATACAGAGAAAGCCGACTCAACAGTCCGTGACTGTGGAAAACGCACTTGCACTCGCCAGCGCCATTGGGAAATTAAAGATCGAATCAAATGAACTGTTTGGTCTCGCTAAACAGTCTTTTAATGAAGCGGGAAAGAAAGCATGCGAAGCCTTTCATAATGCTTCACTGAGCATAGAGGAAAGAATCCTTGCAAGTAAAGTACGCATCGCAAGCGGAATACTTGAACATGTCGACCACCTAGAGGTTGCGGCAAGTGACTGTTTGTTGTACTTACAAGAATTACATGACATGCCAGCCATACAAGAAATATTTTTAGTGCACGTTAAAGGAGGAATAAAGTCTATTTTCGGGAAAGAGTCACGAACTGAAATTGTACAGACCGTAATAATGATGAATTTATTCTTGGCTGATTATATCTCCACGTATACGAAGCGAAAAATGGCAGTTTTAGATTGGCCACTGATAATAAGTGGTAAGCAAATATTCCATCCAATTCATTACGATAAAACGAGTTTACCAAATCTGAAAGAAATTAAAGTGACACTACCATGGGATATTGTAATACTGGAAAACGACGAAATCGTACACGGCGCCTTCTATGGACATGGTAGTGATTTTAACAAAAAAATGGATCTCGTCTGTTTCACCAATGGCACATATGGTCCTCAGAAACTGGATAAAACAACCGGTAAGCTGCAGCCGTGCTGTACTTTTCCTTTGCAAGACAGCACTCAACCGACCGAGCCTAGCCCTAGGGATAGGAGTCACATTACCTTTGGTTTAACTGTTGACGAAGACGACACAGTTTACGTTATGTCTCATATTGAAAACATGGATGGCTATACGTTGTCAGTCTATAGTGCAGATGGAAGAATTACCGATCAGTCTAATTTGAAATTTTTGAAAAGGCTGAAATGTGTTCGAATTTCTGTGACCAAAGACAAGAATATTGTCATATTTTGTCAATCGTATGACAATATCGCAGATATCAGAGTATATATATGTAAAAGCAACGGAGAACTGATAAACAGCTTTCGCCCAGATCTGAAGAATGATTCACGTATACTGTCCGTGTTTTCTCTTTGCAACAATGAGATAATGCTCGCAACAATGGCACACACAACGGCACAGACACTGAAGGCACTCGCAGCGAGAGCAGCAGCGGGAGTAGTAGCGGGAACAGCAGCGGCAGTGGTAATCTCGCTCTCAGTCGACAATGTGGTTTCTTCTTTCTTTTATATGAATGTAATACTTCACATTTACACAGAAGACGGACAGTTGAAAAAAACTGTGACATGTTGTAAGGTTGTCTTTCTTTTATTGGGCAGCATTATTAACATATTTTACAACCAAGCCACGAAGAACATTATTTGTGTAGAGTATCATAAAGATTCGGCAGTGGTAGATTATTTGTCAAGTGAAACTGGTAAAATTCTGAATTCATATTTACTGCATGAAACAAACTTGCCAGAAGACAAGTACACAAGTTGTGGCTGTCATACAAATGGTGCACTTGCTTTGGTTGGCATGAAGCATGTCCTCTTTCTGCAAACACCTTCCATGTAAAATGTAACTGAATCATGCTTTTCGCGTTTTTGAGAGCGTATTCTGAATACGCAACCTCGTTCCCAGGCTCTCCCCTTTTGAGGAGGAAAGACCTGGTCGGAGCTGGTCACGTGGCTCCCACATTCTGGGTGCTAAATTGAAATTGTACATAGGGAGGGGTGGTAGAGGAGTGCGCTTTTTGCGCTTGGAAAAGTACAACTTGTGTGTTATAGTTTCAGGCAATAAAATTTAAATTTGCAACAAGAAATCCTGAAATATTTTGTATTTATTTTCACACGTCTTCCTTTATATAACTGAGTGTTTGGTTACATTAGTCAAGGGAGAGGTTGGATCAGATTTCGGTGGACATCAAAGCTTGGCAACGAAAGCACGCTTCGCTCAGTTCGCTGTAAAAATCTTCCAGACCGAAGATTCTTTCTGTTGTCAGTATTGAAGTGAATAGTGAACTTTATTTAGGCACGGAGGCCTGTCATCGAAAATAACATGATCTTCCCAGGCGCCGTGACATTTGAATTATTTACAATATTTACAAGCAGAATGAGAAATTAAAGCTATCAATAGGCTGTCGTGCATCATAAACTTAACTAAAAATTCAATTTTTACATAGGACGAAAGAACAGTTATTTAGCTTTACAATGATACTCTTTTTAAATCGTAACGATGCGAAATGGCCAGGACTTACCCCCTCAAGAAGGTCGATATTTCTAGGAATATCGTCCCGGGAAACGAATATCCTAGGAATATCGCTCCCAGGAGGGCGAGCGAATACCCTAGAATATTTATTTGTTTGCTTAAATAAATACGATAAATAAATATTCTAAGGGTATTCCCTGGGAGCGATATTCCTAGGATATTCGCCCACCGGGACGATATTCCTAGGATATTCGCCCCCTGGGGACGATATTCCTAGAAATATCGCTCTTCTTTTGAGAGGGGGGTGGGTGGGGCGGAAGTCCTGGCCATTTCGCATCGTTACGATTTAAAAAGAGTATCATTGTAATAATAATGAATATCATTGAATATCATTGTAATAATATTGCCCCTCTTTAGGATATTGCCCCCCCCCCCCTATATATGCGATGTGGTTTATTCAAATAATTTTGTGATGCTTTCATCTTATTAGTACCTTTTACACGTTTGGGAAATTAACTCTGCAAAACTAAAGCTTTTTTTGTCTTTTTTGAAACGTATTATTGGAGTATTGGCAAGTTTTACCATTCAAAGATTTACAAACTAATATTGAAATAATGCAAGTAAAAAAAACAGTTTCTATATACGCGCATTCACTAATGAATAATGACGACTTATAAGCCATACAATAACGACAAAACGTGGACGCTAAACAATTTTAACAATACTTTAATAATCTTTTATATTTTATAAATCCATTTTGAAAATATTTAATATATTGAATAATGCTCATTACATTTATACGACGAAATGTTTCTGGGCCTTGAATGGGTATGACACGTTGTACCATGGATTGTAAAATAATGGATTGTAATTTATTTTAATATCCATGGTTGTACATATACTAAGTCTAAGACCATCTATTTAGTTTATATTTTGAAATTCAATCAATTCCATCGTGTTTGTCAATACAATAATAATGTGCTTCAGTGTTTACAACATAACCATAGGAAAATAACAACACGCTGAGGCGAAGGCAGCCAAGTACAGATTTGGCAAATGTGTTGGTGACTACTGGTAATAATAACAATGAAACTAAACGTATTTCTTCTATAAACACGATAGTAAATTTATAGCCTCAGCCTTAGCTGATGTGGTGGTGTAGATCTAAATATCATAAACAAGATCTATATATAAGAATTACCTAACCAATTCAATTATTTTCAATCCGAATGACAATAATTTTGTGAATACTGCATCGGTAGAAACAAGTAGATTTTTAGTGCTAAAAAACAAGTCTTGACAATACCAATAATTACAATAACGACCACGGTGATTACTTTTTAACAATGAGTTTGAGGATTAACACTGAAAATGCAAAATATGCATGGTGTGCTGTAGTCTCCCTTGCAGACGTTCTTATAGCTCTAGAGCTATAAGAATGTCTGCGAGGGAGACTAGGTGTGCTGTGAAGCGTACGATAACTGCTATTGATCTGCTGTATACAAGCCCTTTCGATACATATAATTGTAAATTTGTATTTTTAACAATTTTGAAATGAATTGATTTCAAATTACTAAAGCCATGTAATAATTATCAGTGCAACTGTTAGGAAGTGCGAAATTTTGAACGGAGGACGAAAATCCTAAAGAAAGGGTGAAGTCTCTAAAGGGGGGCGAATTTCCTAGGAATCCCCCCCCCCTGGGAGGGCGATATTTATCATTTATAGACCCGGAGCGAGGGGATTCGGCGTAATAGATTTATTATACCGAAAGTTATAAAAGAACTCACTAAGTTCAGAATAAACTTTAAAACTTGCTGAATATTAATATTAAACTACGCGAATACAATTTTTAATTTCTTATGTATACCTGAGTTTTTGACGTTTCCTCTTTAAATATTTAAGCATGTATCCTTTGGATCATTAAAGGTAAAATGCGTATTGAAAATATTTTGTTAAATCAAATATTCTATACGAAAATACGAAATTACAAACAACAGCTCGCGAACGCCATATTGTTTCAGAGCGTGGTGTCCACGCGTGAGCGTGGGATACTATAATATCCCACGGTGGATCTGCCGTGGGATACAGTATCCCACGCTGGATTGCGAAATCATGAATTTGAGTGAAATACCGTAAAAAAAATCACATCACGTGATACAAATGCTGTTTTTTCATTGGACAATTTGAATTTGAGGTATAATATTACAAGGAATTTCGTGCGACACCGGTCGAAATCACATTTTTCCACCGTTGGGAATTGCATGGGAAACGAAACATAGACAACTCTCAAGAGGGAATTAAAATTGAGTCTTAAACGGTGGAAGAATGTGATTTCGACCGGCAATTTTTATTTGACGAGTATGTGGCCATTTCTCATCGTTACGATTTAAAAAAGGTATCATTGTAAAGCTAAATAACTGTTCTTTCGTCAGCCTATGACTATGTAAAAATTAAATTGTTTAGCAAAGTTGATGATGCACGACTGCCTGTTGAATTTCCATAGCGTTTTTTTTTTAGATACCCTGTACATAACAAATTAATTCTACAGTTTATTTTTGAATATTATTAGGGAAGTGGAATTCTCAATTCAATTGGTATTGAATTCCATACCACTGTTCCATAATATTCGAGACTATTAAAAATGTTAGATGCGCGACCAGGATTCATAATAAAGTTTCTGAAACGTTCTCTGCATGATCGTAAAATTTATTTAAACACGAGCTTTCGACTGCCAAACAGATTCCGCACGGTTGTGCTATGGGTAGTCCCGTTAGCCCTATTGTGGCAAACCTCTGTATGGAAGAAATTGAGGAACTAGCCTTTAACCAAACCGATACGCCGGTCTAAAAAATGGTTTCGCTTTGTGGACAACTTTCATTATTAGACACAATAGTAAATCGTAACAACGGGTCTCTCATCGTTAACGTTTACCGTAAACCTACACACACTGACAGATACCTAGACTACAACTCACACCATGACAAACAACAAGATTAGCACAGCACTAACACTCGTACACCGAGCAGCCCATCTCCCTAACACGAACGAAGGCAAACAAGAGAAAGATCGTGTTTTTGACGCCCTGAGAAGTGATGGGTATCCAGAAATATTTTTGGACGAAGTAGAGAAGAGAAGCACAAGAAAAACAGAATTCGTGCCATCACCCGAAGAACTTGTACGTATGTTTTTTTGAAATTACTGAAACGATACGGCATCAGAACCACGACGAAACCACTCCGAACGTTAGAACAACGTTTTCCGTCACCAAAGGACAGACCACTTCCCGAAAAACAGGCCAAGGTCGTATACAAATTGCGCGGACTGCTGCTGGAGCTATATAGGTGAGACCGGCAGAGCTCTCGAAACGAGAAAAATTAAGGAACATAAGAGAAACGTCCAACAATGCAAATCCGGTTCCAACATAGCAAAACATGCTTGGACTCAGGACCACAAAATCAACTTTGATGAGTGCAAAATCCTAGACAAGGCAACCTATCAACACAGAGCAACACTGGAGTCTTGGCATACAGCAACCACATTCAATTCTGACAACATTGCCAGTGTTTTCAATAATAATCATCATAGCGGGCTGCATTTCAAAAATAGGCGTCTGCGTTCAAAAATTTCAAGTGAAAGCCAAATTTCAATCTTTTCTTTGGTTTAGTCAGTAAAAAGCTATAAATTTAAGACTGATTTGGACTTCTTTCTTCTCCCCACCTTAACTTTTGTAATAATATGTTGCTCTTACTTTTAGTGATAATATTAACTTTTAATATAATACTCATCTGTATTGGATTAGTGTAGGTAATAGTACGGCTTCAAGTCCATTTTTGGAAAGACATGCATGAGTATGCTTTCCAAGAGGATCATGGTAACTGTTTATTTCGTAATGTAAGCTATCAACTTTACAAAACAGAAAGTCGTCATGCCCAAATAACAGCCCTTGCAATTCAACATTTAATAAACGAGTTACGAAGGGAGTGATAAGGAATTGTTTATCCCCTAAGAACGTTGTTCTAATCCATGGCTGCTTTAGCCTATGCCTGCTCTTACTGTTCTAGGTTGTCGGCGACCTTATACAGTTCGTGTCGTGTCTTTTTCAATTTGAAACTTTACACTATCCTTGGATCCCTAGTCACTTGCTTTATACTATTTTCAATAAAATAATACAATCTTATGTCGCTAGAAAATTACAGTAAACGAAAAAGTAACCGGCTGTCAGAGGCGAAATAGGCGGTAACCGCCTCTTATTGAAAACACTGCATTGCGCAACATTTTACCAGAACAATATACATTTTTATTAAGATCATAGTTTTATACTTATACTTATACTTATACTTATACTTATAAGAATACTCGTTTCACTAGAGTTTAACTATCCTCATTGTTATTGCATGTCATTGTAATTGTAATTGTAAACCACTGTATTTAGTATCATTTTACCCTCTGCATTTTACCTGGCGAAGACTGTAGACTGGCAGTCGAGAGAATGTTTCAGAAACTTTAATATTCAAGACTATTTTTCAAAAAATTGGTGTTTGGTTTAGGAATTAGGGATAACAAAAATTGTAGTTATGACCTCGTGTACCATGACTGTGAATTAAATTCGCTCGATTAAATGGCTGTGGGGGATAAGATGGGTTTAATTTATGGAATACTTTGAACATTAGTCGATTAGACAAGATTTTTGTTTCACCCGCTTATCTTCTAGTGTCGGCCAATTTAAGTTATTCAAAATTCGTATTTCATAGTTGCTCCTATGTATCCTGTCCGATACGTAAACACAACGGATTTACCTTATGTAAAGATGCGGAATTGCTATAAAATAGAAAGATCCTGTGATCCCGCCAACTGCGTGTAAATTCTAAACGTGCTCTCGGCTTTCGATCCGACTGTGAAACTGAAAAGCCCTCCAAAACTGGGTGATATTTAACAAATATAAAACATTTTCCGTGTTGATATACAGTTATATCAACACGAGTGGAAATTGGGAAAACGAGAAATTGTGTGGAAACACGACGCCCGAAGGGCGGAGTGTTTTCAGACAATTTCGAGTTTTCCCAACTTCCACGAGTGTTGATATAACTATATATCAATACGGAAAAATGTTTTATATTTGTTTTATAATATAGCAATGCCAAAAGCCCGAAGAATAAGAAAAATTTCCGTGTTTACAAGCGGCGGAAAATTTCCCGTGTTGACATGGAGTTATATCAACACGGCTCTTAGCCAATCAGCGTTCGGAATTTACAAATGCTATATTATAAATACCGTTTTGGCATCGCTGAGACTCTATGATCAAGAATTATGTCGAGATATATCTCTCTGTCATCCGATGCAGGTAAAGACTCCTCCGTTGCGTGCGGAACAACTATACACAAAATTATATAGTATTGTATAATATGCGCATATACAATTATTTCATATTTATTACAGTAATACACCGGGCAGTAATACACCAAATTGTAGCTTGATCTATATCCTAAATTTTATTTTGTCACGGAATAGCATAGTCTGACTTCAGCGTATTTTTATAAATCAAATTTAGCAAGTATTTTGACGTATATATGATTCTCACAGTTGATTGTACGAACACTCACTCCTTGCGATCGAACTGTAAAGTGCGGTAGTGGAAGCATGTAATAAGATACTTTTCTCACACCCTCTGAGGCAATTAATTTTTTGTGAGCCACGTGACCAGCTCCGACCCTGGTCTTTCCTCCTCAAGAGGGAAGAGCCTAGGAACGCGGTTGGTGCGAAGGGACACTTATCCAAATTTTTACATCTAATATATTTCTGAAAAATTAACGAAAGGACGTCTTAAATTGATCAATATAAGTTTTAGTCAAATCTTCTGTTGTGCAAATCCATGTTTTATTTCTCACCAGGGAATTCTGAGGACTCCACAAACCATCCAACGTTTCCAACAAGTTCCATCTCAACCCGGCCAGACCTCTCCTTTGCTTCAATATTTTGGCATCTTACTGGATCAAGGCCAGTTGAACAAATACGAGTCTCTAGAGCTTTGTAAACCTGTCTTGCAACAAGGACGTAAACAACTGCTGGAAAAGTGGCTCAAAGAAGAGAAGGTAGAGTATGTCTTAAATGTGGTGGTCCAGTGTAGAGAGTATATTACAATAAGCTGTAGCTGTCGTGGTTTGTGTCTGAACTACTTGAAAAGATATCTCAAACATGGTGTTACAGTGTAGTTAGTATTCTACAATAAGCTGTCGTGGTTTGTGTCTGAACTACCTGAAAAAGATATCTCAAACCCACTCAAACGTAGTGTTCCAATGCAGGTAGTATTCTACAATAAGTTATCGTGGTTTGTGTTTGAACTTCCTGAAAAATATATTTCAAACCTGGTGTTCCAGTGTAATATTCTACAATAAACTGTCGTGGTTTGTGTCTGAACTACGTGAAAAAGATATCTTAAACGTGGTGGTCCAGTGTAGGTAGTATTCTACAATAAGCTGTTGTGGTTTGTGTCTGAACTACCTGAAAAAGATATCTCAAAATGGAGGTCCAGCGTAGGTAGCATTCTACAATAAGCTGTCGTTGTGTCTGAATTGTCTAGTAGTTTACTTCAACAGGAAGTTTTTGTCAATGATGAAACAAACTTAACACCATCTTTCGTTTGATGCCTGAAACATGGCATGAAAACAGACGTACATCTGAGACAAAATATGTTTTCGTGATGTCAAGCTTCAGTCTTAAAAGAGCGACGTTGCATAGCAAGCTTTGTTTTGTTTTTTAGCTTGAGTGTAGTGAAGAACTTGGCGATTTGGTAAAGCAAGTTGATCCAACATTAGCGTTGTCTGTTTATCTGAGAGCAAATGTCCCTAACAAGGTAAGTTTACAAAGGTTATTTATATACTGGATAGCTCCCTAGAGGTCTAGTACTGTAAGAGCTATTCCTTATTTGTTCTGTATAACAACAGGATGAAACCGGTCACACACTGAGGTGAAATTATAATCAGACAACTGCATTGAACCACAGAGGCAACAGTGCATACTAACCACTGTGACAGAT